GTGGCAGTCCCTCAAATATTGGAAGACTGCTATCATGTCTCCCCTGGTCCTTCTCTTCACTAGCCTAGCCAGGCCCAGTTCCAGTTGTTCATGCCCAGTTCCAGTCCCCTAATCATCCTGGTTGCTCTTCTCTGCACTTTTTCTAGTCTCAACATCTTTTTTATAATGTGGTGACCAAAACTGGATGCAGTAGGTGTGGTATTAGTGGTATTAGTACCTCACTTGATCTTGATTGTATCCCTCTGTTAATGCAATTTAGGATTGCTCTGGCTGCTGCTGCACACTGCTGCATATTCAATAAAGGGAATAACTCTTTAAGTAACTCCATGCGTTGTTCCTACTTCTTGGGGCCTGACAATCTTGTGGGAATTGGAGTCCAGCAAGCCTCTACCAACGAGTAAAGGACACCTGCAACAATACAGTTCAGCAAAAGCTCACATCTTGTAAGGAGAACAACAGACAGAGCCTGAGAGCGGGGAATTAAGCAAGCCATCAGCCTAGCATCTGTTATGTTTCCACAAACGGTCCAACTCAAATCTTTCTTGAATTCTATTGATTTTTTTCTGGTGCCAATTTAGTATTGAACTTTAGTTGACTAGATTCTTGTGTATAGGCTCGAACCATAAACCTGCAGCATAATGTACGTTTTTAATGAACTGCAACTTAAAGTGCGGTTCCAATTCTTTGAGCCCTACACATCCTTTGAAGAGATTCAGAAAAGAGTCCATCTGGAAGGGTGGAACACTGAAAGCAGAGTTTGGTGCCAGAAGATGATGCTTGGCATGTCCTTTGCCACCATCTCCTTGGCAGCTGAGCATCTCGGTGAAGAAGCAATCACTATGGCAACACTGATGTCATTGCTTTGACAGAGGTACAGTGGTGGTAACTGCAGGTGAGGCTCTTACCTCCCACCTACATGCACGTTGGCTGGCTTCCAAAGCAGAGGATATTAAGCAAAGCAGTGCATGGTTAGAACAGCTTGGCTGAGTGTCCTGAGCTTTGTAGGTATCTGGATTCACAGAATGAGCAAATACAAATGAAGGTAGAGGCAGCATTCCCTCCCCCAACCTTCCTGGAACAAAAACAGGAGAGTCCACCCAGCTTTTTAAAAAATCATTTTATAGGAGAGAAAGAGCAGAAATAAACAAGAGACAATCTGGCTTGATTTTGGTGTTGTCAAGAAGGATGTGGCGACACTTCCAATAGTTTTCTTTCTCCAAGGAAACACAACTTACAATTATTCGGTTTATTTCCACAATCCAGAATACAGGGATAAGACCACCCATGAGAAATACAGGCTTCTGTGATGACGCAGGGCGTGGCACAAAGGCAACACAATCAGATAATCAGTAGGAGTCCCTTTATAAGCTCCAACTTTGCCCCCAATGTCCTGGTTACCTTCTGGGCTGGAGAAAAACTCTTTGAGGAACAACCTTTGGCTGCAGAGAATCAAGTCCAAAATGTGGTCAACAAAAACTGTAACTATAAGTCCACTCAAGGCAAGATGAGGTAATTAGTCCAGCAGGGCAAGAGAAGGAATTCCAGACATGAATGGCAGTAATTCAACCCAGTTGGGAGGATGTCAGGAACTCCGATAACCAAAGTCAACACAAAATAAACTCACATTTGTTCCCAGCAGGCACAGCACTCAGCTTGCATCTCTTTTAAATTGTCTTCCCAGGTGTGGCTAATGAAGGGAATCAGGGCCCTTTCCTCCCCCGTAAGTCACGCAACCCACATTGCTCTCTTCTCCGTTCTGCCCTGCGTGCCCTAGGATGAAGAGGGGGTGGGCCTGAGTCTTCCTCTGAACTCCCTCTCCCTTGTTCTCCCTTTGCTCTGCTCTGCCCAGTTGGACTTTGCCCTTCCACAGCCTCCTACACAGCCAATGGAGCCACACTCCCACTCCCTGTCAGCTGTTCATCTTCCTCCTCAGATTCAGACTCCAACAGGGGCATGACAGCTTCTCTACTTCAGACTAACTCCTTAACAAGACTAGCTTCTGCTTAAAATTTCTCAGGAAACGTCTTGGAACCTCAAGTTCTACTCTAGGCCATGTGCCACAGGTTGGCTGGGTCGAGACTTCTCCTACTCAAAGAAAAGGCAGAAAACACTCCTAAAAGATATTCAGTTACAGTTTATTTATTTTTGTCGCCTGAAATTATTCCACGCTTTTTTTAAAATTATTTTCTCTTTTAAACATGGCTACAGAACAGTAGTAGCAATCCATCAGTAAAAGCAGCTAAGGATAAAATGTTGGCATTAGTTGTTTTTTTGTCTCTTTCTTCCCTTCACTGAGTTTTATTGAACAGGATTAAGGGGTCTAAGGCAGAAACAGGAGCATTTGTGGGGTTGTGTCTGTGTTAAAAAAGAAGAAAAGAAATCAAGATGGCTGCACAATTGAACCACTCAAGCTTTTTTTTTATTTTAGGTGCCTGGGACCCATACAAAAAGTGAGGGGGGCACAATCTTGACTAAACACACCTGTCGTCCCATTCCCCCGCCCACCCCCCGGCCAAATAATTCAAATAATGAACGTCACCCTGAAACATTTGTGGCACAACATACGAATTAAGACTCAAACCAATGGTGGTTTTTTTGTTGTTGTTGATATGGTTATAAAAACAGAGAGTTCAGAAATACAAGGGATTTGAAATGTGGAACGATCCAACCACATTCAAGAGGGAAAAAAACCAAAGATTTTTATTTATTTATTTATGCGCACGTGTGTGTGTGTTTATAAGCATACCTGGTTTTTTAAAATCTCTTACATCGCCAAAAGAACTGAATATTTATATTTACCTGCATTAACTTTGAAAAGGAACATAAGACAAAACCTTTGCCTTATTATTATTATTTAAAAAAAACAACAACCCAAGGATGAAGCGACTGTTTCATTGAAAGAAAGCTTAGCGTGGAAAAATAAAATAAAACCAAAAGCGTATTTTTAAAAGAAAACACTTAAAAAAAAACTTTTATCACGTATCTGAATAATCGCATAGGAGGGTGAAGAAAAGTTAAGATAGTGGTCATACTTTCAGGGGGATTTATTTATTTATTCATTAGATTTTTATCCTGTCTTAATCCGGTGAACGTACTTAATACTCCTTCCTCCTCCTCTCCTTTTTCTCCAAAAATAACAACCCTGGGAGGTAGGCTGAGCTGAGAGAAAAGGTCTAGCCCAAAATCACCCAGCTGGCTTTCATATCCGAGATGGAACTAGATCTAAGGAAACATTTCCTGACCGTTAGAATAATTAATCAGTGGAACAATTTGTCTCCAGAAGTTGTAGATGCTCCAACACTGGAAGTTTTTAAAAAGATGTTGGATAACCATTTGTCTGAAGCGGTGTAGGGTTTCCTGCCTAGGCAGGGGGTTGGACTAGAAGACCTCCAAGGTCCCTTCCAACTCTATTATTCTATTCTATTCACCATCTCCTGATCTCTAGCCCGGTGCCTTCATCACGAAATCACAGAGGCTCTGAGAAACTGAACACAGGAAAGACAATTCAGTGCCCATCTCTAGATGTTAAAAGGCCACGTTGATTCTGAACTAACCTTCCTCTCCCTGTAGCCCAATAGGCCTAGCAGCTTCTAGAATTTTCTACGGGGCTGATGGTCAGCTGTAGACCAATATGGCAGGAGAGTTTCCATGAAACACAAGCCAATAGTTGAGGAGAGAACCAGTGGAAAACACCTCCCTAAAAGGGGGTGCACGGAAAGGTGAAATTTGCCCTTGAAATTTTGGACATAGAACAGAAATCAAACCTTGGCAAATCCTAACTCAAACGATTGACCGCTCAATCTTCACTCCCAGGTAAAAACCTAAGCATTTTCCCTAGCCTTAGAAATAATCATATATATAAACAGAAGTGGTATAATTACCCGTCCTAATTCCTACATCTAGCATCATCTGAAAATGCGGCTTTAGGAATTCAAAAATTTATTCCCAACAGCCCACCCAGTGTTCTCTTATATGTGTGTATATGCATATGTGTGTGTGTGTGTGATACACATATACACACAGATACATGCACATCTATGCAAGTATATTCTTTTCCCCTGGTCGAAAGAACTCGAGGCATATATAAACAAAAACAAAAAAAGTTAAGATGGGCTGGACCAAGGATGTATATAATACAGAATACAGGAGTGGCAATTCTCTTTTGGTCTGCCTTTTTAAGCGCAACAACAACAACCAAAAGACGCCAAAGTTGTTTACACCGTACTCTACGCGAAACAAAACAAAAATAATGAAACAAACAATGAATTAACAAGTCATAAATAAAAGACAGGTCCCAGACCTGTTCTTTCTGAACTTTCTTCCTTTTTTTCTTTTTTCTTTTAAATAGGCGTATTATGTAAATTGTATTTACAAGAACATCACTTTGCATAATGATTGAAAGGACCCAACGAACGAACGAACAAGGGGAGGAAAGAAATTGGATGAGCTGTTGCTCATGTTTCTTCTCTTGATTTTCCGCCTATGTTCTTCTTCTTCTTCTTTTTTTCCTTTCTATTTCTCGCTGAAGAACAAAAGAGATGGGAAAGCATCTACGGAAAAGGCCAAGGTTAAAAGAAAACTGGGGAAAAAAAAAAAAAACGGGGCATTTTTTTGTGAAAAAAAAAAAAAAAAAAAAATCTTGACACACAATTTTAAAAAAGTACAAAAAAAAAAATAGAGAGAGAGAGAGCAAACCAGAACCGAGAGATGACCCTCCCCGCTCCCCTAAACCGTCCCACCCCAAAATCTTATTCCGGCTATTCAGTCTTGCCTTCTTCACTTCCCGCCCCTTAATTTAAACAATGTTGAATTCGAGCGTACGAAGCTTGAAAGAATTAGGTCTGGTGTGTGAATTTCCACCCGGAAAAAGGAAAAAAAAAAACAAAACTTCACTATTTCACACACGGAGCACCTAAAAATATGGATGTCCTCAGAAACCTGCTCTCTAGAGGCAAACGCCAAAAGTCTAAGTTCTCTGCTTTTTTTTTTTTTTTTTTTTTATGGTTTAGAAATCATTCTCTTCTCTCCCTGTCAAAAAGAAAAAAATTTCTACAAATGCGCCACGGGGGATTTTTTTTTTCTTTTTCACCAAGCTTCAGTATAGCGGACGTCCACTTCCTTCAAATTGGGCAATTTAGCCTGGTGGGGAGGAAAAGAAAGAAAAACGAGAGATGAGATAGAAAGAAGGATGCAGAATTCATTACATGAGGGCTCCTGGGTGCTCTCTCGGCTTGCTTGTAAGTCGTTTTTTTCCCCTGAGAATGTTGTAACTTCAAATAATCATTTAAAAATCCTCCATTGTTCAATTAAGGACTGCCTGTATGATAAGGAAGTTTGTCGTGTTCTACAAGTTCTGTTTGTTAAAGCTACTATAATGTACTGTGCAGGTGGCAACTGTAAAGAAACAGGAGCTTATACATTGCCATGTGATTGCTAATTGGCCAGGCACACAGTGATTGACTGTAATGGCTTTGCGACAACATGGGATAGCGGTGGGGTAGGGATAGAAGTAGTGTAGCGTAGCATAGCATAGCATAGAATAGAGAATAGAGAAAAGAATAGAAAATAGAATAGAAAATCAACTCGAGAATGGAATAGGAACGG